AGGCGGCGCTAGAATTTTATTCAATGATATTTTAGGTCTAGGTTACATCTCTATTTATAATAGAAAACCCTGGTACATAATTACAAAATTAACCCTGTACCGTACCGCGGGGCCTGCGCCCCCGCACCCCCAACCCACATTATTTGTAACCCCACAACAAGACTTTCTTTGTAAGGACAGTTGATGTTCGCTTCACTCACTCCATCTCCTGTCCTCTTTACTGGTATATTTATGAGCCATACCTAACAAATCTCCACCTTGGCGAATATCCTGCCTCTTGAAAATTCAATGTGGGTTGGGTTACCTTGATTCTTTAACAACTCGAAACATTCAACAAGTCCAAGCAATGCTTGAACTTGTCTGTCGTAACTGGCTTAGTGAACATATCAGCGGCATTTTCATCAGTATGTACCTTCTGAAACAAAACCTCTCCAGATGCAACCAACTCTCTGATCTTGTGGAACCTTACATCAATATGTTTAGTTCTAGCACGATACACCTGATTCTTAGCCAAGTGAATAGCACTTTGATTATCACAAAGCAACTGAACTCCACCTTGTTGAACACCCAACTCCTTCACTAAACCAGTAAGCCATAAAGCTTCTTTTGCAGCTTCAACCGCTGCCATGTATTCAGCTTCAGTTGTAGATAGTGCCACAATAGATTGAACAATAGACTTCCAACAAATAGGCCCTCCACCAAGAGTAAAGACATACCCTGTCGTAGATCTTCTATTATCCAAGTCACCTGCATAGTCTGAATCCACATATCCTACAACCAAAGGATTATCCCGCTGACTCCCAAAAACAATTCCATGTCCCACAGTACCCTTTAAGTACCGAAAGATCCACTTGACTGCTTCCCAATGTTGCTTACCAGGTTTAGACATGTACTTACAAACTTGACTAACAGCATGAGCTAAATCAGGACGAGTACATACCATCGCATACATCAAGCAGCCAACAGCATTAGAATACGGAACCTTTGCCATATCTTCAGCTTCCTTATCTGTCTTGGGGCACTGTTCTGATGAGAGCTTAAAGTGATTCGCCAATGGAGTGCTAACTGGTTTTGCGCTGCTCATCGCAAACCTTTCTAGCATTTTCTCAACATAACCTCGTTGAGATAGCCGCAGTTTCCTTGAGTCTCTGTCCCTGCAAATTTCCATTCCAAGAATTTTCTTTGCAGCACCTAAATCTTTCATATCAAATTCTTGACTCAATAAAGTTTTCAAACCGATAACATCATCCATGTTCTTCGCAGCAATCAACATATCATCAACATACAGTAATAGAAAAATAAAAGAACCATCATCAAGGCTCTTAACATAGACACAACAATCATACTCACATCGGTTGTAGCCAATCTTGATCATATAGGAGTCAAACCGTTTATACCACTGTCTCGGAGACTGTTTTAACCCGTACAAAGATTTCTTCAATCTGCAAACTAAATGCTCGTTTCCAGGTTGAGTGAAACCTTCAGGTTGCCGCATGTAGATCTGCTCCTCTAAATCACCATGCAAAAAAGTAGTTTTAACATCCATCTGCTCTAAATGCAAATCCCAACTAGCCACCAATGCAAGTACTGCTCGGATTGAAGTGTGCCTGACCACAGGAGAAAAGATTTCATCATAATCAACTCCTTTCTGCTGTGAAAAACCCTTCGCTACCAAACGAGCCTTGAACTTCTCCCCCTCTTTTTCTGTTACTGCTGGTTTCTTCTTATACACCCATTTGCAACCAATCGGCTTCTTACCCTCAGGAAGGGGAACTAACTCCCATGTGCGATTGTGATTCAAAGACTCCATCTCCTTAACCATGGCTGCCATCCACTTGTCGTTTTCCTGACTAGTAACGGCATCATGAAAAGTAACTGGATCATCATTGCTAACAGTAAGTGCAAAAGATACCAAGTCTTCAAAACCCAATCTGTTCGGAGGCTTTATATTCGTCCGTCTCACCCTGTCTCTGGCGAGACTATAATCCTGCAAATCATCCGTAGTGGAACCACCAGAAGTCGGTTGAGAAGTTTCTGGTTTCTCAACTGGAAACTGCTCGAAATCTACCACTGTCGTGTCTTGCTTCTGCTGCAACATAGACTGTTCATCAAAAACGACATCTCTACTAATCACAACTTTCTTCGCAACTGGATCCCAGAACTTGAATCCTTTGACACCTTTCTTGTAACCCAGAAAAATGCACTCCTTCGATTTTGCATCAAGTTTAGATCTCTCATCAGCAGGTACATGCACATAAGCAGGACAACCAAAAATCCGTAAGTTATCAAAACTAACATCATGACCAGTCCATACCTCTTCTGCAACTTTCCCAGCCAGCGATGCACTTGGCGATCTGTTGATAAGGTAACACGCCATGTTAACAGCCTCAGCCCAGAAGTGTTTGGGAAGCCCCGCATTCAACCGCAAACATCTGGCTCTTTCATTCAACGACCTGTTCATTCGTTCCGCAACACCATTCTGTTGTGGTGTCTTGCGCACTGTAAAATGCCTCTGAATCCCATGCTCCTTACAGAATTGTAGGAACTGTGAATCTGTGTACTCCGTACCATTGTCAGACCGCAAACACTTGATTTTCGTCCTGTTTGGTTTTCTACCTCAGCTTTCCACAGCTTTAACTTCTCAAAAACTTCAGATTTCTGTTTCAAAAAATACACCCAAACTTTCCATGAAAAATCATCAATAAAAGTAACATAGTACCTAGATCCACCCAAAGACGATGTCGTGGAAGGCCCCCATACATCAGAATGCACATAATCAAGAATCCCTTGAGTTGTGTGCTTCGCAGTCTTGAAACGGACTTTAGTCTGTTTACCAAGAACACAATACTTGCAAAAATCGAGCTTACAGCTTTTGACAACATGCAACAAGTTTCTCTTGTGTAATTCTGCCATACCACGTTCACTAAGATGAGCAAGGCGCATATGCCACAATTTTGTCGTATCATCACAGGACTCAACAGAGTGAACTCCACCTGCAACGGTACTCCCTAACAATCTGTAGATATTCCCTGCAGTCATCTTGCCTTTCATCACAGTCAATGCTCCTTTAACAATCCGAATGGTTTCCCTATCCTCGTCAGCCTTAGGGATAAAACCATTCTTGTGCAAAGTGCCCAAGGAAATCAAATTCTTCTTCAAGTCTGGGATATGTCGAACACCACTCAACGTCCGAACGGAGCCATCGTGCATCTTAATTCTGACATCACCAATACCAACAATATTGCAACATCGATCATCACCCAAATAAACCGAACCAGAATTAACCGGCCTGTATGTCGAAAACCATTCCCTATTTGGCGTGATGTGATAAGAACATCCAGAATCAAGAATCCAAGCATCCGTCAATTGTGTCGTTGAAATAGAAAGCATATCACCCTCACTGCAATCAGAAGTATCATCCTCGACCACGTTCACAGACTTGGATGAGCCATCACGCTTCTCATCAGTCTGCTTTTTCAACTTCGGACAGTCTCGCTTCATATGTCCCGCCTCCTTGCACTTGTAACAGTGAATCGTCTTCTTATCCCTGGATTTGGATCTGGAATTCCGCTTCCCGGACCCTGCCTTCTCTGGCTTCCGTCCACGATCTCGATTACCCTTGACATATAAGCTATCGGCTTGAGAGCTTTCCCCTGCATTCTGCTTCCGCTGGTTGTGAGCCAACAAGGCTGCAGTAATCTCCTCAACGTTGATAGTCTCTTTCCCATATGTAAGAGTAGTCACCATGTGTTCGTAAGAGGAAGGCAACGAACACAACAGAATCATCGCTCTGTCTTCATCCTCAATTTTCACATCAAGCCGAGCCAGATCAGAAACGATTTGATTGAAGACATTCACGTGTTGCGCCAAATCGTGATCGTCCTGCATCTTCAGCCCATATAGCCGCTGCTTCAGATACAGTTTTGTCGTTAAGGATTTGGACATAAACTGACTTTCCAACTTCCTCCAAATTTCGTCTGGAGACGATAGATGCATGACGTGATACATGACCTCGTCCGCCAAGCATAATCGTATGGTTCCTGCCGCTCGCTGCTGCAATTCTTCCCAATCTTCCTCATCCATCGACGTCGGCTTTGTAGGTCGCAAAGCCTTCAAGATCCCTTGCTGCGCCAATAGATCCTTCACCCTCGTTTGCCATAATCCGAAGTTACCCTGACCATCGAATTTCGCGACTTCGAATTTTGCTCCTGACATCTGATACCAATTGTTGACGAAAACGGGTAAAGAAAATGAAAGAACACGAGAATTTTACGAGGTTCGGCAATGTGCTTACGTCCTCGGTGCCTAGGCGGCGCTAGAATTTTATTCAATGATATTTTAGGTCTAGGTTACATCTCTATTTATAATAGAAAACTCTGGTACATAATTACAAAATTAACCCTGTACCGTACCGCGGGGCTGCGCCCCCGCACCCCCAACCCACATTATTTGTAACCCCACAACGAGACTTTCTTTGTAAGGACAGTTGATGTTCGCTTCGCTCACTCCGCTCCATCTCCTGTCCTCTTTACTGGTATATTTATGAGCCATACCTAACATATATATATATATATATATATTTCTCAACAAGTAGTTTTTATTAAAATAAAAACAGTCCAAACCATGATACTCGTTAAAAATTTTCTAAACAAAATTATATATTTAATATACTAATCATACGTATAAAATATAATAAATAATATTATTTTATTAAAAATAAAATTATTTATATGAAATTTTAGTAAGAAACTTGTCAAAAACTTTTTTTATATTTTTTATCAGATATTTTTCTTAAGTTATTTCAAATATTTTTTCTTAAATTATTTTTTAATAACAAAAACATAAGATTAGGAGACATTAAAATATGCAAACTCAAATAATTTATTATTCCATTACGCTAACATAATCCTCAGTTACATGAAAACAAGTTCATGTTCATACATTATTGATAAAACATAAATAAGTCCACTAATAATCATATGATTTGTTGATATAGTGTCTAAACTCTTAGATCGATAGCTCCGATATTGTTTGAACTTTTTATTGCAATATCGAACCATAAGCGACAATGGGGCTCTTCACTTTATGAACACCATCATCCCAGATCAAGGAACCGGAAATGATAGAGTTCCCGAGCTCCGCCGCGACGGTCACAACGAAGTTTTGCGTCTGGCCGACATATTCGAAAGAAAGCACACTTGGTTGAACTTGGATTACAAGCCCCGGAGGTGCGTTAACAACTGCATTGTAAGTTGACACTGCTGGGCCAACGTTAGTTACTGTCCGATGAAAGATTCGAGTGATCGATGTTCCGGGAGTTGAAGATAAGGCGAACGAAGGGTAATTCAGATCCCACACCATTCCATTCGTGTCATCGGAACAACTGCTGCTATTTCCAGTTATAAGCTGAATGTTTTTAACGGTATAACCTTGTCCACACAAGAATTTCACATAATCGATCTCCCCAGCATCGTAAACCAATCCGGGATCGGTTGCTTGTAAAGGGTTAATGTGACCTGCCCCGTATGCGAACTCGGCTTCGACGTTGTTCTTCGAAGTCATTGGCATAGCTGCAAAAAGTAGAAGAAATATCGTTAGATTTCGGAATTGGAATCCCTGATATTTTCGCATGAAATTAGCAGGCTTCACCTGTTGTCATTAGAGCAGATCTAATTGCAGCAGGGGACCATGTGGGATGGAACGACTTAACGTAAGCCGCAGCCCCGGTCGCATGTGGACAAGACATCGATGTGCCCGAAATAATGTTGTACTTAGTTGTTTGTGTATCGCCTTCTGCTTCCGATACGGAGGCTGCTTCGGACCATGCCGCCAAAATATCGACCCCGGGCGCCGTAAGATCGGGCTGAACTTGAATTGAGAACATTAGAACTTAAAAAGGAAACATTAACTGAAACTCAAAATTGGTGAATATTATTTCATTAGTACCTTGAGAATATCTGCTGTAACAGGGTTAGGCCCTCTGGATGAAAATGTAACAACGAATGGGGCAAATTGATTATTATCTTGGCTGGTCCTCAATATTGTTGCAGTTGGGTTCCTAATAAGAAAAATGACAGTAAATCTCAAGTCTGAGCATAGTAGAGGGACTAAAATTATAATTATAATAAGAAAAATGACAGTAAATCTCAAGAAATAGGAAAATACTCTGTTGTGTTCAAATAGTTGAGGATCATTCTTCCATCATTCATATTCACGGTGGAAAGAGGTAGAGGATAACTGAATTGATAATCCTTGTATCCTAGATCTTGGAACACGGCTCCGGCGGCTCCAGCTTCCATTACACCTTCGTAATCAGTGAAGTACTCGCAGAAAACGATCTTTCCTTTCACTAGTGTTGAGTTCAATGACCCTGGAAAGCAATATCTGTAACAAAATTTCGTTACATCAAGATACCATTCACTTATGTTGATCGAGTATGGTACGATCGGCATTCCGCGATCTGGGTACTACCTGGAAAAATACGTAGCGGAAGGGCCTATGGTTGCGTTCGGAGCGTCTCCGCCGTAGATGAAAGGATACATTTTGCCCTTGAGATCAAATATGTTTATAGTGGCTCCCTATAAGTAGGAAATTAAGGTGTAAGTAGGCATCAGTGTAGCAGAAATGAATGGATTATGAATATCCCTTTAAGTACCTCGTAAATCTGCCCGTTTCCGAGTTTCACCTTTGCAACGAACTTTCGATCGATCGTACTAGCTGCCACCGATAGTGACCAAGGTGAAAGATTTGTAACCGATGCGGGGCGAGGACCGCCATTACCAGCGGAGTTCGATGTGAGGATCCCGTTCTTCATTGCATGGAAAGCACCGATAGCAATGGAGTCTTCAAAATAATCCATCGGTAAAGCACTCCCGACCGAAAGAGAGATTATGTCGACGCCATCGGCAATTGCATCATCGAATGCCGCAAGAATGCCTTCATCAGAGCAACCGTCATACCAACATATCTTGTAAACTGCAATACGTGCCGACGGAACCCCTCCGCGAGCAGTCCCTCTGGCGATGCCGTATAAGCTTGCTTGGCTAACTAAGCGACCTGCAGCTGTTGAAGAAGTGTGAGTCCCGTGACCCTCCGCGTCCCTCGGAGATAAAAAATCTCCCGGTCCGGCTTCTCCATCGGTCAGGTAGTATCTAGCTCCAATTATTTTGCTGAAAGGGATTCAAACATTGTTAAGACCAATATTTTAGGATTTAATGAATATTTTTATAATGTTAAAGTTTCTGGCATGTTATGTTTTACTTATTGCAAGTGAAATTGGCCAAGTTTTGGCAGCTGCCCTCCCATTTTTCTGGGATCGAGCCATATCCAGTGTCGTTAAAACTTTCCGATTCGGGCCAAATGCCGGTGTCGAGCATTCCAACAATGATATCACTCTCAATGATTGATCTTTTCATTTTCTTGTTGAATCCCATGAATTCCCATGACCTTGTTGTGTGGAGCTGCTTCTTTTGGCTAAGGAACACCGATACTACCCCTTCCTTATCTGAATTTTAGAAGGATTAAATCCAGAATTTCAGTGTTGTACAGCGACTAATAAAAATTAGACCCCAAAAATAATAGTTAAAGGGTAAACTATGTATTTAGTCATCTAAGTATCACTTTGGTTTCGTTTTGGTCACCTAACTATTTTTTTATCAAAATTATCACTGATGTTACATTTTTGTCACCCTTCGTTAAAATATTAACGACGATGTTGACATGTCACCATAAGGTAATGTCATATCAGCAGTTTTATAAAATGAAACGAAAATGTAACGTGAGTGATAATTTTGAAAAAAAAATAGTTGCGTGACCAAAACGAAACCAAAGTAATAGTTGGGTTACTCTAGATTAAATCTCTTAACCTCTCATTTTATTTGCTTCATCAACGGTTAACTTAGCTGCAAATCCATTGAAGCTCCTACCGTAGCTGTAGACTAAAACATCTGATGCATCACTGTGGAAAGCAATTCATAAACAAAAGTTAATTATTTGGACTAGTTAATGACAAGTTAAACTATTCAAGGACCAAAACAGTAATTTAACCGATAATAATCGACAAACCTAGGAACAACATCTTGAAGCATGCCTATATGAAGGCTTGAAATGGAGACATCACCCTTGGGAAGGTCTCCCATGTAAACAATGTAGACCTGTTTTCAATTCAACAACAACAATGAGACATATTAGAACTAATCAAAGTTTTGAAATCGTTGAAAATCAGCTCGGATTTCTTTATCAATTTGCCTGTCTCGAGTTCCGATCGGATGCTCCGTGGCAGCCAACGAGGAAGCTAATTCCAAGACAGATAAGCGTTAGCGAAACTAAAGAACCTGCCCGGACCGCCATTGATGAGTTCTAGAGCTTGAGTTGGTAATAATCAATGCCGTGAAAGAGGGGGATTTATACAAGTATTGGATTAATTAGTGAAACAAACGAAGCATTGTTAAGGTCGCTGATGGGTATATGCATGGTGGACTTCGAAATTTATGATGAGTTGTATTTTTTTACCCAAAGTGTTGATTACAAGAAAGTTTTGATTTGTCGCATGTAATTGGCATTTGAAATTGAACTTGTCGAAATTATTTACTTCATATTTTCTTTCGGATTAACAACTCCATTAAGTTTACATTGAAAAATCTTGAAAAGAATTTATAGTCGACGGCAAGATTATATGAGAATACATCAAACCTTAAAAGTATCCGCCTCCTTTTTTTCTTTTAATTCACCAACTAAATATTAACGTGAATTTTTAAACCATACTAAACGAAAGTTGAGTCAACATTAAATTATTATTTTAACGATGCTTTTCGGACACGAACAAAAATCTACTCACCTATGAATAGAAATAATTTTAACGATGAGCTTTACAAGCTAAGTTGTACATATTCACTTTACTATATTTTATGCGATTCATAAATATAAGCATGCAAATCAAACATAAACATCTTAATTAACTTATTCATCAAAGTTTATAAACATCTTAATTAACTTATCCATCAAAGTTTATCAAGTAATTAATCATGCACATTCGTTATATGTTTACCTTTGAGAAGCCTTCATTCTTCCTGCAGATTTCCTCCAAGGGCATTGAGTTGCCTCCCGCTCTAGCTTCAAGGGATCATTCAAAGAGTGTTGAGATGCATTTGTTTCAGCAATAGGACTTTCTTCATTGCTTTTATGAGCGTCGAGATACCTTTGGCTTAGCACGGAGAATCCTCCATCACTTTTACCAAGGTGAAAATGTCCCTTCCCATCCACTAATACTTCTCTGATGAAGTCGAGTTACCTCTACATTGATCGAAAGTATTGAGATGTTCTCGTTCCTCCAAAATAAAGAGACTTTATTGGTAACTCTCTATCGACTGACCAAAAAGATTCAAGATACCTCTACTACAATTATAGGAATTTATTCATTGCCCTTTAGAGCATCGAGATGTTTCTGTTTTCCTTTTTGTCTTATTAGAATATCGAAAATCTTCTGTTGTATATGTATAGACATTAAAACAACTCCACCATATGTAAAAAATTTCTACTCCTGATTATTCATCATCGCCTTCTGATATGGAACCAGATCACCCGCAGTTGCCACTGGATTAAAGTCATGATTATCTCTCGAAGCAGTCTTCACGTCAAGGCTCGAAAACATACGACTGGCGAACTGCTTGAAATATGTCATCACATTGGTTCTTGAGAAGAGTCTAATTTAATAACAATAAAGGTCTTCTTCCTGTTGGTTTTTGGCAAAAGTCCCACATTGGTTGTGTATAAGGAGGAGGGGAAATTCTTTTGTTATAAATAAAGCCCTCCTCCTCCTTAGTTAATCATCCCACAAATATAAGCCTTCTTCTATTTTAAAGGCTATTTGTATTCTTTCTCTCTTTGTAATATTTCCTCTATTAGTGAAATATTTTGGTGTTCTCTTTTATGTCTATTTAATAGCTATTGTCGGGTATAGTTGTTGTCAATTATTGTCCTATTAAAATTACTTGTCTTGGTAGTTCTGTCTAAGGAAAGTGGGTTTTAAGAGGGACCATTGTGACCCCTCCTCTTTCCTGGGAATCTACCTTGGGGTGATTTTTAGTACAATCGTTTTCACACTAGTCACCTAGATAATAGTTTTCAAGGTGAATCTGTTATTGGTGGAAATTAACCCGAATTTCACAACAATTGGTATCAGCGCTCTTGGTTTATTTTAGTATGCTCTGTGGTTGCGGCTTAGGCTGATCTTCCACATCAGAAAATTTTCCTTGGGATAATTGACATTCTGCATTGGCAGCTATTAAATAGAATTTGTAGCAGAAATGGCAGACGCTTTTTCATCTTCAATTTTGGCAAGAAATGCTGTGACAAATGTTAGATTTGCAGTGGAGATTTTTGATGGCACCGGTCATTTCGGCATGTGGCAAAGCGAGGTTCTAGATGCCCTATTTCAGCAGGGTCTAGACATTGCTATTGAAGGAGAGAAACCAGATGATGTTGAGGAGAAAGAATGGAAGAGGATCAATAGAATTGCATGTGATACTATTCGATCGTGTCTTTCTAGAGAGCAGAAGTATGCATTTTCTAAGGAAACTTCTGCAAGTAAATTGTGGAAGGCACTTGAGGAGAAATTTTTGAAGAAAAGCGGTCAGAACAAACTCTACATGAAAAAGAGACTGTTCCGCTTCAACTATGTACCAGGTACCACTATGAATGATCACATTACTAGCTTTAATCAGCTGGTGACTGATATGATGAATATGGACGTGACTTTTGAAGACGAAGATCTGGCTCTGATGTTGATGGGATCACTTCCTAATGAGTTTGAGTATCTTGAAACTACTCTACTTCATGGGAAGGTTGATGTGTCTCTCAGTGAAGTAACTGCTGCCTTGTATAGTTATGAATTGAGAAAGAAAGACAAACAAGAAAACACAAGTGTCGAAGCAGAAGCTCTTGTTGTTAGAGACCGTTCCAAGAGTCAGAATAAAGGAAGCAGAGGGAGATCGAAGTCAAAGTTCAGATTGAGCAAAGATGAATGTGCCTTTTGTCGAGAAAAAGGGCATTGGAAGAAAGAATGTCCCAGGCTAAAGAATAAAGGCAAACCTGAAAGGGGGAAGGCTGTCTCAGAATCAAATGTGGTCGAGTATGATGATGGAGATTCAGATTTCGCATTCGCTGCTACGCCATCAACCAGCTGTTCCAGTTCATGGCTGTTAGATTCAGCTTGTAGCCACCATATGACCCCCAATAGAGAATGGTTCTTTGATTTTAAAGAACTAAAAGGTGGAATTGTCTACACAGCAAATAATTCCCCTCTTGACACACTTGGGATTGGTTCAATTCGCTTGAGGAATCAGGATGGATCAATCAGAACCTTAACAGGTGTCCATTATGTACCAGATTTAATGAGAAATCTCATCTCTGTGGGAACCTTAGAGTCAAAAGGTTTAGAAGTGAGGGCAAAAGATGGGATTATGAGGATTATCTCTGGTGCACTGGTGATAATGAAGGGAATCCGAAAAAGAAACAATGTGTATTACTTTCTGGGTAGTACAATTGTTGGGACAGCAGCAGTGGCAGCTTCTACTGATGAACAGGAGTCAGAAGCAACCAGGTTATGGCATATGCGCTTGGGGCATGTTGGTGAAAAATCCTTGAAATTACTGATAGATCAAGGATTATTGAAGGATGCTCGGGCTTGCAAATTAGCTTTTTGTGAGCATTGCATCAAAGGGAAGAAGACGAGGGTGAAATTTGGAACAGCAATCCATGATACTAAAGGTATTTTGGATTATGTTCATTCAGATGTATGGGGGCCTTCCAAGACAACTTCATTGGGAGGAACACACTATTATGTCACCTTTGTTGATGATTTTTCCCGGAGAGTTTGGGTGTATCCAATGAAGACAAAGGATGAGGTGCTAGGATTTTTCCTTAAATGGAAAAAGATGATGGAGACTCAAACAGGCAGAAAAATCAAACGTCTCCGTACAGACAATGGTGGAGAGTACAAAAATGATCCATTTCTGAAAGTCTGTGAAGAGGAAGGTATTGTTAGGCACTTCACTGTCAGAGGTACACCACAACAGAATGGAGTGGCAGAGCGTATGAACCGGACATTAGTGGAGAAGGTTCGGTGTATGTTGTCTAATGCTGGGTTAGGCAAAGAATTTTGGGATGAGGCTTTGGTCTATGCTTGTCACCTTGTCAACCGCTTACCATCGACTGCTATTGGTGGTAAAACACCATTAGAGAAATGATTTGGAGTACCTGCTACAGATTATGATTCCTTACATGTGTTTGGTTCCACTGCATACTACCATGTTAAGGAGTCAAAGCTGGATCCAAGAGCAAAGAAGGCGATTTTTATGGGGATCACCTCTGGTGTGAAAGGCTATCGTCTTTGGTGTCCAGAAACAAAGAAAATAATCTTCAGCAGGGATGTTACCTTTGATGAATCTACCATGTTGAGAAAGGTGACTTCAGAAAAATTGGAGCAGACAGATGGAACTCCCAAAAAGGTGGAGTTTGAAGGAAGCAAATTTGTCCCAACCAGTAAAGAAAATGATGTTGACTCTCCTATGGTAGAAGAAGAGTCAGATGAAGAAGAGGTTCAGACCCAAGAACCTCCACAGCAACATGAATCAATTGCACTCAGAAAGGGAAAGAGGACCATTAGACAACCTGCTCGTTATGCTGATATGGTCTCTTTTGCATCACCAATTGCAATTGATGACGTTCCTGCCACTTTTAATGAAGCAGTTCAAAGTTCAGAACATAAAAAGTGGAGGATTGCCATGAATGAAGAAATGCAATCCCTTCAAAAGAATCAGACGTGGAAACTAGCTAGTCTTCCGAAGGGAAAGAAGGCAATTGGGTGCAAGTGGGTATATGCAAAGAAAGATGGATTTCCTGACAAGAATAACATCCGCTACAAAGCAAGATTGGTGGCTAAAGGCTACGCTCAAACGGAGGGAGTTGATTATAATGAAGTATTTTCTCCAGTTGTAAAACATTCCTCCATCAGAATTTTGTTGGCTTTGGTAGCGCTGTTGGATTTGGAACTAGTTCAGATGGATGTAAAAACTGCATTTTTACATGGAGACATGGATGAGGAAATCTACATGACTCAGCCAGATGGATTCAAAGTTGCTGAAAAAGAAGAGATGGTGTGCAAATTAGAAAAATCGTTGTACGGATTGAAGCAATCTCCAAGGCAGTGGTACAAGCGATTTGACAAGTTTATGATAGGGCAGAAGTACACAAGAAGCAAATATGATCATTGTGTGTATTTACGCGAGCTAGAAGACGGATCCTATATATATCTTCTTCTTTATGTTGATGATATGCTGATAGCTTCCAGGAGTCAGACAGAAATTGCGAAACTAAAGACT